GCTACCTCCGGCCCAACCAGGTGCAGATGTCAGGTGGGTCAGGTCGGGTCAGGTCAGGCCAGGTCCCGTGTGGAGCGGGTCAGGTCAGGTCAGGTACAGATGCCAGGTAAGGGCCAGGTCCTGTGGAGTTGGTCAGGTCAGATGCAGATGTCAGGTTATATCAGGTAGTGATGTCAGGTCAGGTCATGTACGATGTCAGGTCAGGTCATGTGCAGATGTCAGGTCAGGTCATGTTGTATCCAGATGTCAGCTGAATCATGCCAGGTCAGATTCAGATCTCGGTGGATTGCACTGTGCCAGGCGAACTAAGCGCTTAAAACGTCTATTCATACTGGATACGAAGCATGCTGATGTTTATTAGCGGAGATGTACTTCTCGCAACCTCACATGGTCACTTATCCTGACCGATCGCTCCGTTTCGCCCGCGCCGTTCTACTGCTGCTGCTGTTGCTGCTGCTGCGGACCCTAACCCCGTCCACCGTGCTCAGAGTCAGGAGATGCGGTGGACGTGGACTCCGGCCGGCCGGTCACCGTCCAGTGGGAGAAGATGTCCAAGTCGAAACACAACGGCGTGGACCCGGCGGAGGTGATTGGCGAGCTGGGCGCCGACACCATGCGGCTGCTGATGCTGGGGACGGTGGCGCCCACCTCGTCACGACACTGGTCCAGCGACTGTGAGTGCACGGTTGGGGATGAGGACCGGCGGCGGCGTTTGCCGCCTCGAGGTGGGCGTTTTGAGGCGGAGGGCCCAGAGCAGGCCAACTACTGGGTCAGACTTATTGTTGTACGGCCTTTCGTGTGTGACACAGAAGGCCGCGGCGGTTTTTACGCTTGTGGACTTTGCTATTATGTTCCATGTGGCTAATATTCCTCATTTGCGTCCAGAACAATATTTATCCAGGAAGCACTCCTGAACCCACACTCCCCAACCTGGCTTTTTTGTGTTTGTTTTCTTGAGAGCGTATCATGTTTTTCCACGTAGTTGCATGTTATCGAAGGATCTCCCTCGCGTCCAATCCGTCATCTGTCCGAAAATGTCCATAAGCAGGCCGACCAGCCGCCCCCGTCTGTCCTCCGTCAGCGTTCCCGCCGCTGCTGGCCTGGCAGCGCCGGCTCTGGATGACGGTCGGCGACCTCCTGCGCCTGCGGTCCGCCCCCGCCCCACCGGCGGGGTCGGGGGCAGGGGACGAGGTGGAGCTAACGCGGCTTGAAGCGGAGATGAGGGAGACGCGTAACTACTTCGTCCGCACCGTCACGCTCAACTTCCAGGAGACGCATCAGCTGAGCGTGGCCATCACCCGACTGCAGGGACTCACCACGGCACTGAGGGTACGAAAGGGGCTGACGACGGTCCTGATGGTACGGGAGGGGCTGACGACGGTCCTGATGATACGGGAGGGGCTGACGACGATCCTGAGGGTACGGATGGGGCTGACGACGGTCCTGATAGTACGGAAGGGGCTGACGACGGTCCTGATGATACGGGAGGGGCTGACGACGATCCTGAGGGTACGGATGGGACTGACGACGGTCCTGATAGTACGGAAGGGGCTGGCGACGGTCCTGATGGTATAGGAGGGGCTGACGACGGTCCTGATGGTACGGGAGGGGCTGACGACGGTCCTGGGGGTACGAGAAGGGCTGACGACGGTCCTGATGGTACGGGAGGGGCTGACGACGGTGATGATGGTACGGGAGGGGCTGACGACGGTCCTGAGGGTACAGGATGGGCTGACGACGGTGTTGATGGTACGGGAGGGGCTGACGACGGTCCTGAGGGTACAGGAAGGGCTGACGACGTTCCTGAGGGCACGAGAAGGGCTGACCACGGCCCTGAGGGAACGAGAGGGGCTGACGACGGCACCGGGTGACCGCGGCTGGGGTTTCACCGAGGCTTACCTTGGAACACTGTTGCTCGATGTGCAACAGTGCGCCTGGCATGTGGAGCACCCTGGCCATTCGAAGCGTTGCTGGTCGCGTGACGTAGGCTGGGCGTCATCGCGTGCGTCTCACCTCTTCTTAGTTCATACTAGGGACCACTTCTATTGTTCGTCCCTGACGCCGCCCGCGTTGCCGCTTCTTCTCAGAGGCTGCCCGCCTGGTACCAGGCGCAGAGTGCAGAATACGAGCGCGCGCTCGGTGACCTGCTGATCATGACGTCACCGGTCATGCCGTGCCTGGCCGCAGAGATGTGGGCCGCATTTACCAGTGTTGTGCGACACGCCCACCCCAGCCACCAGCAGGTCAGAGTCAGTCGGTGCCTGCGCTGGTCTGTACCACTGAGTGTTGTAGCTATTTTTAGGGTCAGGCAATGTGGGTGTGGGTCGTTATTATCATGTCAGCCCGTTTCCGTGTCAGCCGGTGTCGGTGTGATTCAACGTCGGTGTCAGCGACAGTGTCACTGTCAGTGTCAGCCAGTGTCCATGTCGGCCCGTGTCCGTGTCAGTGAGTATTCATGCCAGCTGCATTGTCAATGTCGGCCATTGTCAGTGTCAGCCAGGGTCCATGTCAACAGCAGTGACAGTGTCAGCTAGTGTCAAAGCCAGTCAGTGCTGATGGCGGTCACTTATCGGCGACCTTGTCGGCGCCGGGACCGGTGCCATTATCCCCGGCAGACGGCGCCGCGATGTGGCCGATCGATCTGCCGGGGCTTCCCTGCTGTTGTCAGCGCCCGTTGCCATGACAAACTTGGGCCCGTCCGCGCTGTTTCAGCAGCTGATCTCAGGACTAAATCTGGCTCCGATGTCAGATATGAGTTTCTGTGCGGTGTTTGATGAATACGTAGCATTTGAATGCGTTTTGCTGTCTCGGCGCGTGGTACTGCCTTAGTAGAATGCAAATGTGGTTTGTTGTTTCGTTGTGTGGTAACATCTTGGTGAACCGCGCGGGACAAGCTGTTTTATCTTCTACTCGCTGCTTAGCTACTTGACCGTCGCTACTCGCCGCGAGATGACCGTGGTAATCAAAACGCCCTAAAAATATAAGTCGCTAGATTTACTGTTACGGCGCGGTGGATGATATGTGTCTGAACCGTTTGATTTGGGCAGACTCGCTGACAGAGGAGCCTATCTCAAAATGCTGCCACTGCCTATCAAACAATCTGAGCGGCTGGTGATTGGCTGTTTGAGTAATGGCAGCTGCAGATGGACTAACCACGTGACAGCGGCTGTTGCCGACGGACCGCTGTGCGGCGGCTGACGGCCGGTGCCCTGTCGTGTGTGTGATGCCACAGGACTGCACGGTGCTGGAGCAGCGCTGGCCAACAGTTGATGAGGACGCCGCACTAGAGCTGAGCGTCGAGGTGAGCCCTCTGGCGGCCGGCTGGGGTCGCGGCGCGCGGATGATGCCCTTTCTCGATCGCAGTGGATATGTCCTCCCGATAGCCGTGGTGTCGAGCGCTGTCTACCGCCGCTGGACCGTTCCGAGTGTCATGCTTTTCCCCACTGGCGACTTGTGTTCAGCGCTTGCCCAGCATGGGGATGGCCGGGTGTAGCTGACTGGAGGCTTGACCAGAACCCATCGTCCGGTCTATAATTCCTTCAAACTGGACTGCGTTTCAGTCGAGGGGGAAATGTGAAAGGTTGGTGCGGGTACTGTCAGACCCCGGGTGTTTCCGCTGTGCGTCGTGCGTTGTGCTGTATACAAACAAAAAAGTGTGTTCTGCGGTGTTTGAATGGCCAGACCTGCGTTTGCTCCATCCCTGTGAGAGATTTGGCCCTGATACGGCCACCACCCTGCGTGCTCCCGCCGGGCGTGACACCGCGCCGCCGCGCCCTCAGATCAACGGCCAGGAGTCGGCCGTGGTCCCGCTGCCGCGGCGCCAGCTGGACGCGCTGACGCAGGCGGAAGCCTGGCGCCTGGCGCAGGCGGTGCCGGTCGTGGCGCGCTACACGGCTGGCGGCGTCTCCGCCTGCCGCCTGCGCTTGCTGCCCGGCCTCGGCGCCACGCTCAGCCTGCAGGCGCGGCAGGCTCCGGCCGCACAGGCGGACGCTGAGCGGGAGGAGGTGCTGCGCAAGCGGCAGGAGCGCAAGCAGGCCAAGAAGGAGCGGCGCGAACAGCGCCTGCAGCGGCGCGCCGAACGCACCGCCGACGGCAAGTAGCGGCGAGCGGCGTGTCGCTGCGGCGGTCGAGTCAGGAGCAGGGGTGAAGTGTGCGCTCGTCGTCCGCAGGCGGTCTGGTGTGGCATGTGTTGGGTGATGTAGACCTCGCGGACGGAGCGGTGCGTGCCGAGAATGGGCGATGTTTCAGAATATATAATGCTAAGCATGTAGTGTTTTCAATAACGTTTTAAGGCTAACGTCATGTTGATTCGAGTGAAATGGATGCATCAGATTTCTAACTGTTTGTGCTAGACTGGTGACGACCTGGTCATGCCAGTTCTTCTCGCGGGTCAGACAAAACTAAATCTTGCCAGTCTATAGCCTCTACTTGCCAGCTGCACTCACCAACACTCACATCACACCACGTGCACGTGTACACCCAACACCAGTTTGGCGTCTTTGAGTCTATACGCGTAGGAGTATGCATGGTGACGAACGGCTCACCTCACACGCCAACGCCAATCGAAAACCAGTCATGATCACGCTCCACGGAAACTATGTGATTACCTACCAATGAGAAGCGAGCATGACATCGTATGATGGGGCTGCTAAACCACTGACAGAGTGTGGGATCGCCTTGTGATACCGGAACTATCTGATGCAACAGAACAAAGATATATGAGGAGGGTAGGATCGTTCGGGGATTTTAGCGCCCCATTCACTCAGCGTTAGCGTGACGTCACCGGGACATTCTCCTCAGCAGCCTCAGCGCGCGGCCCCGCGTGTGATGTAATAGTCCGAAGGAAATAATCGCTCGCCTGCTGGTTTCGTCCTCCCCGGCTACTGCATGTAAAGTTTAGAACGAATGGCTGCTCTTCCTTCTCTTTATGTCGACGTTTCCACAGATAGTGTCTCACCAAACAAGTGATTTCGCTGTGAATTCGAAAAGCTTGATCTGGACTAGAATTGCATCGCTCGCATTAAGCGAGATCTGTCAGCGATGGTGCCAATGCAGCAAGTCAAGCTTCACCAGTTCTGGCGCCTTTGCCGTCGCCCGTTTCAATGTCATCAACCGGAGGTGGTAACGGCCCCCTAACCAGGTTAGCCTGGAGGTCAGACCGCCCCGGATCCCGGATCTGGACGAATCGGCTGAGCTTGGCCTCGGCAGCTTGGCATGCGACACTTGTTAACCGCGGTGGGGTGGTGCGACGTTTCCAAAGCAGGCCTCGGGGCGCACAGTCAGGACTTCAGATGCATAACCGGGAGACGACCCCCGCTGTGACCTCAGCAGCCTCCATACAGAGCCCGGACCACACGTTCCGAGGCGGCCTCTGTGGCCCCAGCACGCCGAACACCCTTCTCGTGCGTCCCAATGTGGCCACTGAAGCCTTGGCAACTGGCAAGCTCCATGCAGCCTCGCGCGTTATGTACTGTTCCGAAGGAAATAATCGCTCGTCTTCTGGTCCAGGCGTCCCGCTAGGAGCGTAGCAGACTCCACAAAGGTCCCAGGATACGCGTCCACAGGCGGCCAATGCGACCACAGCATGCTCCTTACACGGTTTACCTCATGCGTTGAGTGCCGGTCGTATAGTGTACTACAGTCGTTAACGCTTCTGAGTTAACCACTGCGCGTCTGGGAAACCAGAGATACGGGGCTCGATTCCCCGCGGTGCCCGCCCCTCCTGCCAGAGTGAGAGGCAGGCGACGCCATATAGCCTCAGCAGCTGAGTGCGTCGTAAAAGCCTCAGTGACACACACACCGCATGCGTTCCAAGGTGACACAGGTCTAAAGGTCAAACGCATGATGCGCTCCTCGCGTCTCAAAAGGCTGTTGCCGCCCCAGCGGGTCCCACATACGTGGATCGTTTCCTGCGACATAAAGCAGCCGTAGGCCCACCTCTCCGCTATTTGTCTAAAGCAGTGTGAACAGAAGTCACTACGGTCTCGTCCCTCTTCAGTCCCAACACGATACTCACCGCCTCACTACGAGCTACCCACGTATCCTCACTCCTATCCCTCATACCCATCCTCACTCCTTTCACAAGAGGACTGTGCTTAGACATTCACGAATTTCAAACGCATCGCAACATCACGGTAAACCTCAGGTGAGTGCGGGGGTAGTTACAACAGTTTACCAACATCATGCCTCTAGCGGCGTGCGTGGTGTGTTGCTAGTTACGCCATGTAAATCGTGCCGGCGGCATCGCGCGATCTACAGTCGCGCGATGGTGGACTATCAGCACCGGCCGCACCCAGCCTGATGGCAGCGAGCCGCACCAGCTGCGGACGGCAGCGACATCGAATAACTCACACGTGTGAGTGAGAAGTTTTAGTGGAGTCGGCTCACCATTCGGTAACAAGGATGCGGCATTCGGCCAGGGAACAGGCAGCTGAGCCCTCAGCTCACCCGAAACCGCTGCACCGCGTCCGCCGGCACCGGACAACTCCCACCACCGCCGGCGCACCAGCCGCGACCGTCGGAGCTCAAAGTCCCGTCTCTGAGACGCCAAACATCGCCGGTAGCGCGGCAATCCTTCAGTTCCACGCAGTGAACCGCTGCCTGCGGGTCACGCTAAGCCCGTGTGACGCCAGACGCAGTGAACCGCTGCCGGCGGGCCACGCCAAGCCCGTGCGACGCCAGACGCAGTGAGCCACTGCCGGCGGGCCACGCCAGAGCCCGTGCGACGCCAGACTGCAGTGAACCGCTGCCGGCGGGCCACACTAAGCCCGTGTGACGCCAGACGCAGTGAACCACTGCCGGCGGGCCACGCTAGGCCCGTTGCGACGCCAGACGCAGTGAACCACTGCCGGCGGGCCACGCTAGGCCCGTGCGACGCCAGACGCAGTGAATCACTGCCGGCGGGCCACGCTTGGCCCGTGCGACGCCAGTCCAAGCCAGCGGGAAGCCAGGCTGCGCCTCGCTGTCAGAGATCACGTGCGCCAGTCATGCCACAGATGCCGCGGCGTACCTCGCTTGTAATTGCATTAAAAACGCTGACGGAAACGCTGCACCGCTTTGCGTTGCAGACGCTTTAGCGCTTAGATTAAGCTTTCAAGCATGAAACACTGCGCCGAATCGCGCTCTCGAGTTTTTGCGTCACGTTTGCGGTCTTTGGTCTTAGGCGAACTTTGGAGCCATGCTTGCATTCTTCCCTGGCTGCAGCGCTGTCTAGCGAGGACACGCATTACGTACAGTTCACGCACCCGCAAAGTGCGTGGTCGGTGGACCCAATTTTACTTCGCAGCGGTGACTGCAACGTCAGCACGGACCCTGCTCCCTCAATCGGACATCTGAGTGGGTCGCCAACCGAGCCTTCGGGGACCTGTCAGTGCCCACGGACTCGGCGATGCCTGCTCTCTCACTAAGTGCGGCTTGGATGCAAAATGTGGGTACGGGCTTGACCGCAAAGAGGAGCGTTGCCTAACGGAAAGTGAAATGCAGCCTCCTATGCTATCAGTAATTGAGTCATTTGCATGCATTTAGTGTACCACGCACGTATATTCCGAATATATACATATGTATGTACAGGCATATTCCGCATATATATATATATATATATATATATAATATATATATATTTCTCTTCTCTCTCTCTCTCCTCTCTCTCCCATCCTCTCTCTCTCTCCTCTCTCTCTCTCTCTCTCTCTCTCTCTCTCTCTCTCTCTCTCTCTCTCTCTCTCTCTCTCTCTCTCTCTCTCTCTCTCTCTCTGGGCTTCGGCAGGTTGCCAGACAGTTCGCCGAACTGGTGTGAAATTTAAAGATTGAAGTCCGAGCCAAATTCGAACTTTGAATTACAAGAGCAGTGGAACATCACCATACATGCAAGTAAAGCAAACATCTATTCAAACTTTTCAGCCTCAGAGCCTGTGGAAGATGCATGGAACTAATTCATCTGGCTCCAGCAATAGAAAAGCAGCCTCGTTAAGATAACTTAGTGTTATCTCTCTGAGGGATGTTGGCTGTCTGGCGTGACTTCATCATCAGTGCTGATTTGGCCGCTGCTCTCCATCAAATCATGCAAACCGGCTGTCGACAGTGAACATATTTATTATAACAATGACAGCTCGGTGATGCTTCCTATGGCGGTGCGGTTACCACCATGCCAACAATGAAAACGTCTTGCGCGGGTGCATCGTTCACAGCAACAATAGTAACACCAACACAAACGAGTAACACGCAACCGGCGCATGATGATAACAGAACAGCGACTGAAGGAGACGCCAGCTCCAGCCGACGTAAATCCGACAGCGACACGGACGAGTGGGCTTGCCACGGCGGCGGCGCGACGCTGCGACCTCTCTTGGTTCGGACCTACCGGTCGCCACATCGAACGGGATACAATGACTGCGGCGCGCTGTCCAGCGGGCTGACCGGCGAGTCTGTCTGCCGGACATAACAACCAGCCCGCACCAGGAACGCGACACTGCCGGTGGTGATTACATCACACAAAGCGGCTAGACCCGCCGCGCTGTCCGGACCCCCCGCAGAAGCCGAACTCCCCTGCAGCGGGCCAGACCTCCCGTGGCGTCCGAGGACCGTTGCTTGGTCTCCCATGCCCCTGGCAGCCGCACCTCACCCCTGTTCACCGGGCGCCGAGCGCCTCCGGCTCCGGCCTCGTCATTCTGCCGGCCTCGGGCCCAAGCCACAGCCCGGCGCGGCTAGCCGGGCTCCTCGGTGCCGCCCTCCGTCCCGGGGGTTACTGTCAGTTTCGGTCTCTTTTGCATGTGTCGCCCCCACAGCATACGCTGGGGGCCCTATCTCATATGTCCTCGAGCACCAATTCACTGACGTTCTCAGGCAGAAAGCACTCGTGGAAAGTATTGGTCCAGGGTGCGGTACAGGTGTTCGGTGACTCCGCTCAGCTGATGGCCCCTCGTCCGGGTACACCTGCGGGCACGGCACGGGTCGGCTCAGCCGCGCCGTCAGGGGGCCCGCACGAGGCGTCAGTCACTGTTAGCTGCCGTTCGAATCTGATCGCAAGAAGCAGATTCGATTATCAGAAAAAGAAAGCGCATCACATTCCCGCAGAGGCGCGATGCTGGCAATGGGCATGTGTCCCGGTGACAAAGAATGCTTTGTTTACATTGGGCCCATTGGGACAGCAGTTGTGAACATTTCCGGGTGGCAGAACATCCAGTTTCGAGTCAAGGAGCGAGCCCAAAAACTAAAAAGAACGTGTTTCAGTTTCATACGCATCGAACTATTCACAAAATAATTTGATGTGCTGTCTCTGCTTTATACACATCCGTAACACCTCAAACAACGTGCGCAAACAGGCTCCCCATCACAAAACTAGCCCCAACACTTCCTTAAGACCACATGTAAAAAGGTAATATTTCAACCAGCTTGTTTTATTAACCGGACCACTCGGGAAAATCATCATCCCTTCCTCAGCCTTCGTCGAACAACAAGCTTTCAGAACTGTCCTGGGCAGGCGACAAGCTTGAAGCGTTTTTTTTCCTGCTCAAGCTGAGAAGGTAGCAGGTTTATCCTGATAGCTCCCGCTTAACAAAACCACGCCCATCGCATATCTTTCTACATTAACCATGCCCCAGCTTAAGAGCACATCCGTCTTCGCCCCCCGCTGCCGCCCCGAGCTCGAACTGCCGTCCCGGCCGCTGACCATCTGGCGGAAGACGGCGCCGGCCGCGCTCCATCTGGCGGGCCAGCAGGAAGGTGTGCTGCACGCTGACGCTGGTGTCGGCCGTGCAGTGCACCAGCAGCAGGCGCCGACCGGTCCAGCGCTGGCGCCCCGCCGGCCCAGCGCCGAGTCAGAGAAGCCTCGGTTGGTTGTCGTCCGCGGCCGGCCCAGACGCCGCTCGCTCGCGCCGACGCTGCCCGGACGGGTCAGGTCACGTCAGGGCTACGCTACCCACCGGGTCTTTTTCCGACACCAAAAGCTTCCAAGGCCAGATAAGGTCAAGTTAGGGTCAGATCACGAACCCTGTCGGCGCTGGCAAGGCACAGACGCTGCCAGGACGGGTCAGGTCAGGTCAAGTCAGGTTAAGAGCCCAACCGGAGCTTGTTCGATACCAAAGCTTTCGAGGCCAGATCAGGTCAAGTTAGGGCAGATCACGAAACCTGCCGGCGCTTGCCAAGCACCGACGCTGCCAGGACGGGTCAGATCAGGTCAGGTCAGGTCAGGTTCTGAGCCCAACGCCCAAAGCTGTCAAGCAACCACTGGACAGGGATGAAGGGGCATTAGTGCTGCCAACAGCCCAACAAGGATCGATCCAAAACTCACCATAGATCTCCCAGGACGTGATGGCGCTATTGCCCACCGCACACCTCAGCAGCTTCTCCGTTCTTCGCCAGCAGCGTGAGCACAAGGTACGCGCCGTACCCGTGCCCGACAGCGATCACCCGGAGCGGCGTGACAAAGTCCAGCGTCGAGGTCAGCTGCGTCACCACCTTCCTCAGCGCGTCCACCTCCTCGACGCCGACACCGTCGTCGGCCGGCAGCCGGTCGTCGTCGTGCGGCGCCGGCTGCGTCGGCAGCGTCACATCGGCGACGACGAAGCTCTGCTGGGCGGCGAGGTAAGCCGACCAGTCGACGGCCCAGCGGCGGTCGGCGGCCGGCGCCGCCAGCCGCACCAGCAGCGGGAAGGCGGCCGCGTCCCGGCGCGGTACTGCGGCGGCACCTGCAGCCGCACCACTGCCGCGCCCCCGCCGGCAGCGCCACCCGCAGCAGCGCACCTCCGGCAGCGAGAGGTTGGCGGCGGCGGCGCGCAACTGCGTGTTGTTGCGCAGAGGAGGCGGGCGCGTCACCGGCGGCCGGCAACGTCAGCTGCGGCACGACCGGGCCCAGACAGCGCAGGCGTTGCCGACCGGCGGGGCTGAACAGCGCCTCGTACTGCAGACAGGTGGCGTTGTCGGCCACGGCGGCGGCGACCGGCGCGGCGGGCAGGTGAGGCAGCGAGCCGCGCGCGACAGCGGCGAGCTGGTGGTCGCTCACGCGGAACAGGTGGCGCTGACCCGCCCGTCTGGCACGCTGACAGGTAGTGTCTGAGGAAGCCCAGCGTTAGGAGGTCGGACGTGAGGATGCGGTGCGGAAGCAGCGACGCTGTCAAGTGCATCATGCTGGCCGCTAATAAGTCAGCTTGGCCCACCACATTTGAGGAGGGGACGTGGTATTGGACCAAACGCTAGAATGTTCATAAGACGACTAAGCTGACGTCGTTGGTGCAGACATCCCTCATAGCATTTACGCTCGGAAAATATTCGGAAAGAATCCGATGCATCGTATATGAAGACTTTTGGTGAGATTTTTCCACCCCTAGCTCAGTCGCGATTTGATAGCAGATCAGGCGTAAAAGAGCGGGAGAGCCAGAGAGCGACAGCGCGATAGTGCAGAAGGACAACGACAGAGACAGAGAAAGAAATAGAGACATAGACAAGACGAGACAGACACAGAGACAGAGACAGATATACAGACAGAGACAGAGACAGGTACAGAAGACATACTCAAGAAGAAACAGTGACAGATACAAAGATGGAGATAAAGACAGGACAGAGACAGAGACAGAGACAGAAAAAAGAACATAGACAGAGGCAGAGACAGACACAGACACAGAGACAATGCCAGATACAGAGACAGAGACAGAAACAGAAACAGAGTCAGAGACAGAGAAAAGACAGAGAAAAGACAGAGACAGAGACAAAGACAGAGACAGAGACAAAGACAGAGGGAGGCAGAGACAGACACAGACCCAGAAGCAAGACTAAGAAACAGTGACAGACACAAAGATAAAGACAGAGACAGAGACCAAACGACAGAGACAGAGAGAGAGACAGATACAGAGACAGAGACAGAGACAGAGACAGAGACAGAGACAGAGACAGAGACAGAGACCGAGACAGAGACAGAGACAGAAACAGAAACAAGACAGATACAAAGACATGGACAAAGACAGAGACAGACCTAAATACAGACGCAAACGCAGGGACAAAACGGAGGCATAGGCAGAGACAAAAGCAGAGACAGAGACATGACAGAGACGGAGACAGAGACAGACAGAGACAGACAGAGCAGATAGAGAGACAGAGACAGAGACAGAGACAGAGACAGAGACAGAGACAGACACAGACACAGACACAGACACAGACAGAGACAAGACAGAAACAGAAACAGAAACAGAAACAGAACAGAAACAGAAACCGAAACCGAAACCGAAACCGAAACCGAAACCGAACCGAAACCGAACCGAAACAAGAACAGAGACAGAGATAGAGACCTAGACAGAGACAGAGCCAGAGCCAGACTTAACACAGACGCAAACACAGACAAAGACGGAGACAAAGACATAGACAGAGACAAACAGAGAAAGAGACAGAGACAGAGACGGGGACAGAGAGAGCAGCGAGAAACAAGACAGACACAGACACAGACAAAGACATTACAGAGAACAGAGACAGAGGCAGGGACAGAGACAGAGATGGAGATAGAGACAGAGGCAGAGACAGAGACAAGACAGAGACAGAGACAGAACAGACAGAGATAGAGACAGAGACAGAGACAGACAGAGACAGAGACAGAGACAGAGATAGGGACAGAGGAGCAGACAGAGATAGGGCGACATAACCTCTGGAGCATAATTGTCATGAACGGGAGCAGTGACAGATGATTCATGGGTGGTTGACAGGTGAATGCCAGGTGATTCTGCACTCACATGAAGCCTTTGCTCCATGACAGCAATTTCACCACATCCGCCCGCTCCTGAGTTAGCTGTGTCACGCTTCTCTGCGGGCAATGTCCACCTGGAAAACGAGTTTGGTCTTATATAGGATGGCGGATGTACGAGCATCAAACTCAGGGCGTCATGCCTGCCGTAACATAAGGTCAGACATCGAAATAAAGACCGGGATCATCGAGCCGATCAGCACGTGCTAACGCAAAATCTTAGTTGGATGTACTGGTTGAAACCATACCAAACTGGTTGGCGCACGACACACAGAAAATAGATCGCCGCTGGCGCAATCTTAGAAGTTCAATTTCACCCTGATTATGAAAGCCTCGCAAAATGTCGCCATCGTTACTGACAAAACACGACGACGTCAAAGGGAAAGGTATCAATCCAATCACAAACAAGGAATATTCAGGAAACATTGGGAATCTGCATGAGATTCCGTTGGTTGTAACGCCTTACAAATGGCGACAGTTGACACAAACTGCCCATGGTTTGAGTAGTCGCCCTTTCACCCACTCTCCTTCTCTTTATTGTGAAGCATAAGTCGCCAACTCACACACCCTTGTTGAAGTGTCTGGTTCGTTCAAAGCACTCGGCCGCCGCTGTCGCCCATAACCAAACCCGGAGTGCCCCGTCTTGCCACTCTAGAGGCAGAAATATGGGCTGGCCGAGCACTTGTTGACGGAGATTTACGGTTGGCCACAGTGCGACTTTGCCCTCTGACCGGTGCCGGGACGCGTCACTGTCTGCGCGCCGGACAGACGACAAGTGTGGGCAGGAGCACGGCACGGAGGGTCAGACCCAGGTCGGGAGCCACAGAGGGATAGGACAGAGGGTGGGAGGGACTCGGGTCTCGGGTCTTGGGCGTTGTAAATAAACCGCATCAGCGGAGGTGACCAATCATATCACACAGAGCCGGCCCGTCACCACCCCCTCGCACCCGCAAGGAGCCGGCACCATCTGGACGAGATACTGTCAGACGGTCGGTCAACCGGCCTGCAGCCGAGCAGATCACCTCTGGTGCAACAGCTCGGTTTGAAGGAGCCATCACCAGGCTGCGAGACTCAGACGGTGGTCACCGGCCGCAGCCGAGCAGATCACCTCTGTGCAACAGCTCGGTTGAAGGAGCCAGCACCAGCTGGACGATACTGTCAGACGTCGGTCACCGGCCGCAGCCGAGCAGATCACCTCTGGTGCAACAGCTTGGTTTGAAGGATCAGCACCAGGCTGGACGATACTGTCAGACGGTCGGTCACCGGCCGCAGCCGAGCAGATCACCTCTGGTGCAACAGCTCGGTTTGAAGGAGCCGGCACCAGGCTGGACTATACTGTAGACGGTCGGTCACCGGCCGCAGCCGAGCAGATCACCTCTGGTGCAACAGCTCGGTTTGAAGGAGCCGGCCCAGGCTGACGATACTGTCAGACGGTCGGTCACCGGCCGCAGCCGAGCAGATCACCTCTGGTGCAACAGCTCAGTTTGAAGGAGCCGGCACCAGGCTGGACGATACTGTCAGACGGCCGGTCACCGGCCGCAGCCGAGCAGATCACCTCTGGTGCAACAGCTCGGTTTGAAGGAGCCGGCACCAGGCTGGACGATACTGTCAGACGGGCGGTCACCGGCCGTAGCTGAGCAGATCACCTCTGGTGCTACAGCTCGGTTTGAAGGAGCCGGCACCAGGCTGGACGATACTGTCAGACGGTCGGTCACCGGCCGCAGCCGAGCAGATCACCTCTGGTCAACAGCTCGGTTTGAAGGAGCCGGCACCAGGCTGGACGATACTGTCAGACGGTCGGTCACCGGCCGCAGCCGAGCAGATCACCCTCTGGTGCAACAGCTCGGTTTGAAGGAGCCGGCACCAGGCTGGACGATACTGTCAGACGGTCGGTCGGTCACCGGCCGCAGCCGAGCAGATCACCTCTGGTGCAACAGCTCGGTTTGAAGGAGCCGGCACCAGGCTGGACGATACTTTCAGACGGTCGGTCACCGGCCCAGCCGAGCAGATCACCTCTGGTGCAACAGCTCGGTTGAAGGCCGGCACCAGGCTGGACGAGACCTCAGACGGTCGGTCATCGGCCGCAGCTGAGCGGATCATCTCTGGTGCTACAGCTCGGTTTGAAGAGCCAGCACCAGGCTGGACGAGACCGTCAGACGGTCGGTCACCGGCCGTAGCTGAGCGGATCACCTCTGGTGCAACAGCTCGGTTTGAAGGAGCCAGCCCAGCTGGACGAGACCGTCAGACGGCCGTCACCGGCCGTACTGAGCGGATCACCTCTGGTGCTACAGCTCGGTTTGAAGGAGCCGGCACCAGGCTGGACGAGACTGTCAGACGGGCGGTCATCGGCCGCAGTTGAGTGGATCACCTTTGGTGCTACAGCTCGGTTTGAAGAGCCGCACTAGGCTGCTGGCCAAGTTGTGTAACACGCTTGATTGCCGTTGTGTACATTGCTTATTTGCCGCTGTGTAACATGCTTTGACGATCTAGATTTGATAAGCAATTTGTACTTGAGCTTGTGTGAACGACGGGACGGTTAATAATGCTCGAATGCGGTTGCCATTGTGTCATGTTTTGATACTGCAACTTACACTACTGCTGTCGTGACATCAAATCAAACGAAAGCCACTTGTTGGATAACTCGTGAGTAAAATGAACATGAACATGACTTGGAACCAGATCATTAAAGCCCGGCTTTTTAAAACCCACCAAATGTTGAGGAAGCTTCTCTTACAACGGCCAAATTTCCACAAGCTCACGGCACGACTCGCGACAGCCAGGCTAACATCCTTGGCATTTGCTCAGCAGTTATGCCTGACGGTCCAAGGCATTCCTCAATGTCAGACAATCGTGTAGCCTGCCTTGCAGATAAACATACTTGTTGTCAAATGAATCGTGGTGTGTTAACCACTGCGTTTCGGTTTAAAGTGCGGGACCAGAATCATGGCCGCTGAAGAATGTACGGAATTTACGGTCTTTGTAACTTTGGTTGTCGGATCGCTGATTAGCCTGTTGCCAGACACATCACGCGAAGCAACACACGACATCTGGCGAGGGTCCCGCAACAGAGCTAGCACAACGCCTGTCGTGCGGCCTCACCATCAGATCTGTGTGAAGAGCCGTTCGGCCCGTCCGCACCCGGTCCAGCAGCAGGGCGGACTTCTTGTCGGCGGAGAATATGGGCCCGTCTGTGACCTCCACCCAGCCGTGGGCCGACTCCGACCGGTACACCTGAGGGCAGGTACCATCAATCGCCTCAGCTGGGACCGTACACATGGGGGGGGGTCTCTCATCCAGCCGCCGTCAGCTGGGACCGTACCTCTGAGGCGGTCCCACCAGCCGCCGTCAGCTGGTACCGGTGCACCTGAGGGGTCCCACCAGCCGCCGTCAGCTGGTACCGGTACACTGGGGGGGTCCCACCAGCCGCCGTCAGCTGGTACCGGTGCACCTGAGGGGAGGTCCCCCAGCCCGTCAGCTGGAGGTCGACACTCCCACCAGCCGCCGTCATCTGGTACCGGTGCACCTGAAGGAGGTCCCCCCACCGTCAGCTGGGACCGGTAGATCTGAGGGGAGGTCCCACCAGCCGCCGTCACTGGGACGGTCCACCTGAGGGAGGTCCCACCAGCCGCCGTCAGCTGGGACCGGTCCACCTGAGGGGAGGTCCCACCACCGTCGGCCGGGAGTGGCACACCTGCACAGCCGGCACGGAGCCGCCAAATACCCAGCAGTCCGCCTCCTTTCACACTGGATCAGCAGAATCACGGCGACAAGACCGGCTATACTCTCCAGGCGCGTAACTTAATAACGCGGACAGCTAATTGCCGTGATGAGTCGGCTGCGACACCAGTCCCACCACAGTCCGTGTTCGGATAGCGCAAACATGTCAGTGAAAAGGTCAGTCGCAGTCAATTCAGCCGACAGTGCTGGGGAGCTCTCTCTGGGATCACATCACAGCCAAAAGGTCAGCGCCGGCGGGCTTAGACTGGCGCTCAGGCAGCCCCGCTCCCGGCGTTCAGCCGTCGCCGGGGCGCCGACGCCTGTCGCTTGGCTGGCGCCGGCGGCGGTCACCAGCCGCAGCCGCGCGGATCACCACTGGAGCACCAGCTCAGTTTGTCTGGTCAAATTGGAGAGCGCTCCGGGCACCCCAGTGTCGCCGGTCACTGGGGCTGATCCTGTCGAATGTCTCTCACGGTTAACTTAAGCTGCAGGCGGCAACAAACGGTGACCGCCTGACTTAGCTGTCATATTCAGAATGAGTTTTGAAAATAAAGGTCTCCAGTACGCAGGATATGAAACTCCAAAGCAGTGGTAAATAGTTCAGAGGCTACTGTTGCGTGTTGATTTTAAGGAAATATATGCTTATAATGGCCTAAGTATGTGCGATATTTAATTAATGCCGCACATCCATTTATCCCCATATGCGATTCTGGTTTTAGAATAACAGCGCATGACATGCATTATAAAGCAGTTAGAGCAGGGAGTCTTTTCCCATGCCAGACAGAAAATGGGACAACGCTAAATATTATTGAACATCAAAATGCCATTTTCCAAAACGTCCACATTTACTAAGGCCTTGAAGCTGTCCGTATTTCTAGACCAGATCTAAACGAGCACCGTCGTAAAGGGAGCGCTCCGGACGAACTGACCTCGAACGCCTTCTGAGAAGGCCCCGGGCGGCCGACAGTCATTTGGGTCCGCAGTGAATGGCCCGCGCCGACTGTGGAGCTCTCGGGTAAGCCTGATAACCACACTGCCGTCGCTGGCCCGGCGCCGCGCTCC